CATTTAATTAAACATAAAGCAAAAGTTTCTCCTCTAGTGACATCAGTGTCTCTATGATCTACTGAAATTCAGTTTTTGGAAATCCCAGCATTACTCTGTGCCTATTAGAACAGTCCAAGGGTCTCCAGCTGCAGGCAGCACGGCTGCATTTGTCCATGTCATCCTGGTGGACTAAATTGTTTCTCTGTTCTTCTCCTGAAGTATCTACATCTAGCGTTTTTGACCTTCCTTCTTTATACTTGATTAGAGAGAAAAAAGGAGAGAGACTAACCTTTTATCTTTTTTTGGTCAGCCTATAAATATAGTAATGCCAGCCATATATGTGGCATTAATTCTACTACTGCCTATATTATAGTTCATATTTTCTTTCATAGTCACTTGCTTTATGAAAGAAATACATTTTTACTACTTATTAAAACTTCCCTAATAATACAGCACTGGAATGAGCACTCCTACCACCACAGAGCAGCAACGTCTTGCGTGATTGGCTCAGCATGCCAAGCTCGCTGTTCTTACTAATGAGTCCTACTGTCTCACCAGGAGGACAATGTGTTCCTACTACCGGACGCTGATACTAGCTCCAGCTGTGCTGGCAAAAATCGCAAAAATGGCATCTTTCTTTAAATCTTTTTTTAAAAGCCCTGCAGGTTAAGACTCTTCATATTTGGACTTAAAGGAAAGCACACATCTAACCCAAGCCAATACACATATTTCTAAAACTGGTCTTACTGCACACTTCTTTTCAGCGAGTTTTGTTCGTGTTTTGTTTTTAATGTTCCCACTGCAATCCCAGAATTAGAATCATTAGGATTTTGTCATAACAACTTGGAGAAAAACAGCATGGGCTTAAATTTTTAAAAAACAGGAAACATCTTCACCTCAAAGATCAACAGAAAAGACTAACCAGTATCATTTTAGATTCCCAAGTTAATAGAAGCTAGTAAACTTAGTATCATTTTCAACATGGCAGAAGACGGTGTATCTTAAGTATTTAAGGTGTCTTGCCTTTTGTTCCACAGAGACAGATATGGTATCTATGTGTTGACGGGCTAAAGAATGAAAGAAGAAGTGGCCCTTGGGAAAATGGAAGAAAAAATCACAATTCAGGGAAAACAAGTTCAGCTTACTGTTTTATTAAGAAATTATATTCAGTTTAATAGTCTTACTGAGAATATAAATTCTATGAACAGGGTAGTCGTTCAATAGACGGGTGTCATCTCAGAAGCACTTCCTCATAAGAGAAACTCAGTCTCGTGAAGGTGGCAAATACGAACTCTGTGCCTTATTCCAAACATAATTAATTGTGGTTCTTAAAAATGTTCATTTTCCTTTTCAGCTCAAAAACTATAACATGATACTTGCTTTTTAAATGTCAGGTTAAGTATAGCTTATCTAATCTCTATTTGTCAAATAATTCAATCCAAAAGATTTCAGACATTCACATTTTACAGTTGATAACCAAGAAACTACAGAACTTAAAATCTTTCTGGCATTCCGTGATCCATCCACATAAAATGAATACTCAGATGAGCCTTGGCGCTAGCTACTCACTGTAAGTAAGGAAGGAGGATAAAACAGGAGCGGAAAAGGGGTCTCCTCCTGACTTCTCTCCTGAAGAAGGTGTTGTGGAGGATGTAGTGGTTGTTCCACATCATGAAGCGGATCTCCTTCAGCCCCCGAGAGCTGGCCTCTTCAATCAGCCGAACAACAGACTGGTGAGTACAAAGCCAGGAAATAAGCCAGGTTAATAAACTATCACCGTAAAATATGAAAACATAACAGGAGACAGTTAATCTCACTGACACTTCTATAAATCAAACTAATCCCCCTCTTAGAAATGCATAGTAGAAAGATGCTTCCTGTTCAGAAAAGCATAGCTAACCACGTAAAAAAAAAAAAAAAAAAAAGCGTGTGAAGCCCAAGAAACCAAATTTCACAATGTGCTAGATTTTTGAAAAATATTCACTTATTGGAGGCCAGAGTGGCGGTATAACAGGTTAAGCGTCCCCTTGTGATGCCAGCATCCCGTACAGACTCTGGTTCAACCACAGGCTACTCCATGTCTGATCCAGCGACCTGACTAATATGCCTGGGAAAGCAGTGGAACATGACTCAGGTGCCTGAGCCCCTACAATCACATGGGAAACCTAAAAGAAGCTCCAGACTGGCACAGACCCAGCCGTAGTGGCCAGCAGGGGGTGAACCAAAAAAAAGGAAGATTTTTTTGTCTCTCCCTCTCTGTAACTCTGCCTTTCAAATCAATAAAAAAACAAATCTTTTAAACAAAGAAACCTTCAGGCCCAGCGTGACAGCCTAGTAGCTGAATCATTGCCTTGCATGCACCAGGATCCCACATGGTTGCTGGTCTGTGTCCTGGCTCACCCACTTCCTATCCAGCTCCCTGCTCATGGCCTGGGAAAGCAGTGGAGTCCCAAAAGCCTTGGGACTCTGCATCTACGTGGGAGACATGCAAGAGGCTCCTGGCTCTGGATCAGCTGAGCTCTAGCCACTGCAGCCACTTGTGGGGAGTGAACTAGGGAGTGGAAGATCTTTCTGTCTCTCCATCTCTGTTTATTTAGATATAAACAAATCTTTAGAAAAACAAAAAAGGTAACCCCAAGGAAAAGTGACACTGATGCAGTCCAAATACTCTAGAATGCGTTTTCTTTTTAAAGATGTATTTATTTGGAAGGCAGAGGTCAGAGAAAGAGGTTGGGGGGGGGCAAAGAGTGAGGGGAGAAGGGAGAGATCTTCCATTCGCGATTCACTCCCCCACGTGGCCAAAACAGCCCAGGCTGGGCTAGACTTGGGCCAAGAGCCAGGGACTCCACCCAGCTCTTCCAAATGGGTGTCAGAGGTCCATATACTTGGCCATCTGCTGCCTTCCCAGGTGTACTAGCAGGGAGTTGGATCAGTAGAATAGCTGGGATTTGAACTGTGTTCCAGTATATGATGCCAGCATCCCAAGTGGTGGCTCAAATTTGCTGTGCCAAAATGCTGGTCCCAGAACACATTTTAAACAGCTTCTTTCAGCTGGCATGATGGCTCAGTTGGCTAATCCTCCACCTGCAGATACTGGCATCCCATGTGGCTGACAGTTTGTTTCAGATGCTCCACTTCCCATCCAGCTCTTTGCTAAAGACTGAGAAGACAGCGGAGGTTGGCCCAAAGCCTTGGGGAACTGCACCTGCGTGGAGGCCTGGCCATTGCGACCATTTGGGCAGTGAACCAGTGTATGGCAGGCCCCTGTTTCTATTTTTCTCCAGAAATTTCCCTTTCCAGTAAAAATACATAAATCTTAAAAAATAATAACAGCGGAAGCTTCTTCCTGTTTATGATACTAATGGTTTCCTAAAAAAGTGTCAGAAACTTAGTTCAATATGTATTTTGGAGTAATTAATGACCTATTTTTTTGTTATTGCCATTTAAAAATCTAAGTAAGGAGGGCCAATTCTTCCTTTTTTTAGTGCTAGAAATTAATTTAACAAAATTAAAGAAATCAGATCTATAAAATGTAAATTAGTGTTGAAAATCCACTTCGGGTGTTTAATTTTTTTTAAAGATTTATTTATTTATTTTATTGCAAAGTCAGGGATACAGAGAGAGGAGAGACATCTTCAATTATTCTGTTCAGTGGCGTGAGGGTGACTCCTTCCGCTGGCACCTGAGCCGATCGCCATGAACCCACCAGACAGACATAACCAAACATTACACCAGTTTTCATCTCACTGAAATGATTGCAAAGGCAGCACCGAGCTGAACAATGTAAGATTCTGGCAGAAAGCACCTCATGGCCTGGTAACAGGGGTCTCCTGCAGCTGGATTTCAGGTTAAAAGAAAGAAATATTTTCAGTAAAACAGAGACGTTTCTAGGAATCAGCATGACTCTGCTTTACAAGCTCTCTTATTATGACCTGTAGTTCCGCCTCGTCAGGAGGGAGAACATAAAAACTAAACACGCCTTTTAAAAAACCATTTGGGGGTCTGGTGCGGTGGCCTAGCAGCTAAAGTCCTCACCTTTCTAATAAAAATAAATAATAAATAAATAAATCTTAAAAAAATAATAATTTGGGAAGTACCTCAGGATATTCTCTCCAGCCGAAGTGGTCCCTGCAGAAGAACTTCCAGACGGTGTGGTAAGCGGAGTTGGCACTGGTGGAGGATGGTGTAGACAGCCTTCGGAGTTGGTCGAATTCACTTGTTTCATACACATTCATGGCATTCAAGTCTGCCCAAAAGTCTTGTCCTCTAAAAAGAGCCAATGAAATGTTAATGTATTTGCAGAACAAAAAATATCTAAACATTTCACTGGAGATTAAAAATATTTAGTTGCATAGTAATCTGTTGCTGAATTTTCAAGACTTGCTTCACTTGGAATAAAAGGGCAATTCTGATTGCTTGTCTAGCATCCAGTCCCTAAGCTGCCTTTCTTGATACCAAAATCTCCTGAGCTACAGAGTTGGGGTAGGATTTACATAAACCACAGTATCATTGCGCTAATACAAATCCAAATCCTCCCCTCCTCTCCAGAGTGAGATGAAGTAAAACCTGGTCTTAACCATTCAGGATTCAGTGAGTATGAAGCGGATATGAGACTTCTCTGAAACTTGCCCTGTTTTCCCAGGCATCATTTAAAACTAGTAATTTACAGAAGTACTCTGTAAGTCTGCAGAGTGGCAGGAATTTAGCCTAACATTTAAGATGCCTTGATCCAGGCCCCATGTGGTGGCCCAGTGGCTAAAGTCCTTGCCTTGAACACGCCCCAGGATCCCATATGGGCACCGGTTCGAACCCCGACAGCTCCAGTTCCCATCCAGCTCCCTGCTTATGGCCTGGGAAAGCAGTCGAGCACGGCCCAAAGCCTTGGGACCCTGCACCCACGTGGGAGATCTGGAGGAAGTTCTTGGCTCCTGGCTTTGGATTGTCACATCACCGGCCATTGCGCTCACCTGGGGAGTGAATCATTGGAGGGAAGATCTTCCTCTGTATATATCTGACTTTGCAATTAAAAGAAAAAAAAAGCCCTGATCCCTTACTGATTCCTGTGTCACAATTGGCCTTGGCAATCAAACTCCAGTTTTCTCCTAACGCAGAGCCTTGCAGGCAGCAGTATTAGCACAAGGAACTGTGTTCCTGCCTGAGTTGGTAACCTGTAGCTCTGGCCTAAGCCAGCCACTGCAATCGCATGCATTTGGGGGAGTGAAACAAACAGATGGGAGTTCTAGCTCTCAAATGAAACTTTTTTTAGGTTTATGGAAAATGGAAGTAAAAGGTTACTTTTGTGCAAAATTTTGACATGCATGCATATGTCTTCAAAAGTTCATAAAATGTACATTATGAAAAGAACTGCACGGATTTAAAAATTTTTGTGGTAAAATTGATTTTCCTTTTCACTCTATTTTCTATGAGCTTTCTGAATGCCCTTATACAACACTCTAATGAAAGAAAAAAAAAGGAAAAATGAGATCAGATCAAGCCAGTACTGCTCATCTACCCAACATCAATATTATCTTTTAGCCTGTGAGCAGAAAATGTTGGCAAAACATGAAGAAAAAAACAGCATAGATATGAAAATATTTTTTGTCATTTTATCTGGTACATTACTACTAAATCAGCACTTTACAAACATCTCCACTCTGTAGGAAAAAGTCCCTTCACAGGAGTCCGATTTATAAAGAGCTGTCCAGCCAAGTTAAAATATTTGTGCTTCTTTTAAAAAGAAGCCTCATCTAGCTCTTGAAGCATCTCATCACTTAAGCAACTTGTCTGCTTGAAAACTTCTCTAACAAAGTACAAAAAAAATCAGACATATGATAAAATAATATAAACATAAGCAGAATAATTAAACTCCTGAATATATTCCTTCATACATTCCACTCTTCCATAGCAGATTTCTATGTCTAAAAAATGTAGGATATCAGCGATATTCAGAATGACTGGCATGGGTGAAATCCAAAATTTGAAAACCACACGTTTAGCTGGCTAGTGAAATACTTTTCAGATTCTGCTACTGGAACATGTTTCATAGATGATAGGTATTCCTTTTTTTGCAGAAATCATGTTGCAGTTAATATCTGGTTATAGTTCATTTACTGACAGACTTCTTAGTCTTGGACATGCTAGGGTAGCTATTAAAGCACTTTATGGAGGGTGGTAAAGTTTCCTTCCACACTCTATATCAATTAAAAATAAAAGCTAAAATATAATAATGAGAAAGCTTCCTTCCAAACCTGAGACATTCATTCCCTTTCTTCCTTGAATACTGATTATTGCCTCAATACACCTCTGACAACAAAATTTAGTTCTCAGAAAATTTACTTCTTACCACATTTTGACTTGTTCCCAATTTGTGAATAAGGTCCTACTCTTTAAGAATAAAGGTCAAACCACTTACTCCATTGATGGTGTCAAGAGGTATATAACTTGTAAGAAGGCAGATTATTCAACAATCTCTAAAGACTTCCCCAGAAACCCAGACTTTCTGTTCAAAAAGAGTACTAAAGAATAGGGTGCGTTTTTAAAATGCATATAATTTTAGTTAAGCATGGACAATGGAAATCAGACAGTAAAACAATTTAAAAGTCATGCATGGTCAGTGCTTCTTTAAAATAATTTCTGATAAATAGGAATACTTACATAAAAAGGGAAAAATTACTGGGAATTCTAAAAACCCGTAAAAAATGCAACTCTCATAAGTACGTTAAAATCACACCAAGTTGCCTTAAATCATTTTCATTTAACATTTAGAGAACCTACTGTTATGACTGGAAAGAGGAATACATACCTTTAACCCTCAAGACCATTTCAAGTTTCTAAACATATTTTCCTCATGTAAACTTATTTTCCAGAAAATGTTCCCAAATATGAGCTAACAAATCCTTAATACTTCCTTCCAGGAGTTCACTGTGTTAACATGTATACAACGGCCAGTGTTGTTTGCTGTTTATATCGGACTGCATTCTGGACATCACTCTAGCACTTTCTCTGTGAGCCTACGTTATTGAGACTTCATTAATGAGGATTAGCATGAGAAAGACCTTGACAACTGCAGCTTTTGCTGCATTCTCCATGCATTTCAGTCCTTGGGGTATTATGAAATTTCTATGACAAATCCTAATTTAGTACAATCAACTGTTCTTTGGATTGATGTATCAAAGTAATGTTTTAGTTCCATTTTACTTTCAATATGCTTTTCTAGGACTGACAGAAGCAAAATAACAAATTTAAAAAACATTAAATTTTCTTTTTAAGATTAATTTTACCACCCGCTCTCTCTTAGAATCTTATAAACGCCCAAAGCCAGGAATTTCTTCCCTTCATGATCGGCATCAGTATGTGTGTGCAATACAGATGTCAAATGCTCCCAAGCTTTACCAAACCGTGCTAATAGTACAAAGCAGTTGGGAATCATCTCCGTGGGTAATGGTGAACTGAATCAGGCAACAAAGAAACAAACAGATGCAGCCCTATGGCACAGGGGCTTCAAGAGTAACAAAGCCAGACAGGAAGTAAACTCCCAGCAGTGCCAAGCAGAGTCAGGTAATGAGAAGACAAAGAATTGAAGTTCTTAGTGGTATCCAGGAATGGATAAAATTCAGGAAAAGTGCTAGTTTTCGGTAACAGAAATATTTAAGCATGAGGCGAGTTCAGAGCTCTTCAGGCACTTCGCTTCTTTTAGGAAAGGCAGGCAGATGACAGGAGCAAGAAAGGGGAGGCTTTTAGTTACGGGGACACAGTAACTTCAAACGACTTGTGGAAAAGTAAAGGTGTATTTTTGTGCAAAGATTTTGAAATCCTGTACAAAGTTTCATTAATAAGCATTTTCTATACATTATGAAAATGTGGGTTTTGTGCACCCAAATAAACTTACACTTCCAATTCCAAATAACTCTTTGAGATACCCTAAAATAACAAAGAAACATGAGCTAAGGTATAAAAGGTAAAGTGAAACGTGTCAGAGGCCAGTGCAATGGCACAGAACGCTAATCCTCCACTTGTGGCAGTGGCACCCCACATGAGTACCAGGTTTGTCCTGGTCGCTCCACCTCTACTTCTGTCTGGGAAAGTAGTGGAGGATGGCCAAAGGCTTTGCAGACGACCTGGAAGCTCCCAACTTGAGATCAGCTCTCTGGCTGTTGCAGCCATTTAGGAAATAAACCAGCAGATGGAAGATCCTGTCTCTGTACCTCTCCTTCTCACTGTGTAAAATCTGGGTTTCAAATAAAAATAAACACTTTTTTTTTTTTGGTGAAAGAAAGAAAAGAGACAGGAAAAGGAAGGTGTATGCATGTCAGGAACTAAGTCCACCCTGAGCACTGAGGTGTTGAGCAGATTGAGATAAAGGGTCGAAGCAGCAAATACTGGATGTGTGAAAATGCATACAGAAAAACTTGTACTTGGCCTGACATATACAGTATCCATGACTCAAAGTACCTAAATCCAAGTCCTGACTACTTCTGATTCCAGCTTCCAGTTAACGCAGTCCCTGGCAGACAACAGAGGATGGCTTCCATATCCAGGATCCTTAATGAGTCCCAAGCTCCTGACTTCAGCACCTTGATGTAACCCTGACAGCACCAGCCCAGGCTGCTGTAGTCGGAGGCCGGACTTCACCCTGGCCAGTGCAGGCATTTTAGGAATAAACCAGCAGACGGAAGCCCACCCTCTCTGTCTCACATAGCTAAAATCGATCAAGATTGATTTTTAGTTTTGCTATAAAAATGAATTTGATCAGTTTGCCATCAAACTACCGCATGAACGACTATAAGAAGCCAGTCAGTAAGTGAACCTAAAATGCTGAAAGGGACACCCAGTTCCATCATTGAGATGCTTTATAACAATGGTTGCTTCTCTTAGCAAATGATTCAAATACCAATTAAGCCAACATTTCCCAACAGACAGACACCGACACACAGAAAGTATGCTCCACACATCATTTCTCCCACACATACTTAACATATTCAAAGTAACTGCAAAGAGGAACGATGCACAGCCGCCTCTCCAGGGAAGTTTCACTTTCCCTGAAAGGTGGTCAAGGGAGGTGTTCCAGAGGAGGAAACATGAGCCAAGTCGGCTTAGCGCCCCGGACAGACAACAGATGCAGGACACCACAGGCAGGAGGCCTGCACGAGGAGACTGCAAGAAGCACATGCACTTCATGTGGGTGGTCAGGGCCTATGTGCGTATTAGGCAGACGGCATGAGATAAAGGGCGGCCTGAAGAGGCTGGCTAGGGCCAGATAATGAAGAGCTTTGTGTGCTGGGTTAAGAGGTTAGCACTTGATCCCATGGGCGGGCCAGAGAAACCACTAGTGGATTTGTGAGGTTCAGGTTTGCCTGTGGTGTAAAAGGACTGTTATTTAATTTTGGCTGCGGTGGATTTAAAAAAGGTAAGGCAGTACAGACAAGCATCATCTGCTGCTTATTAGCATATTGATTTCTATTATTCTATAGCTATTACAATTGCACAGAGGCCAACGATGACAGGATTAAGGCAACGCAATAGTAGGGATGATATGAAAAGCATTTACAATGAGAATCCAACTGCATGAAGAATGATTAAATGTGGAAAAGTATCCCAGCTTTCTGAGTGGTTACTGATATTCCTCAAGTAAGACAGGAACTGTAAGAAGAAGAATAAACATACAACTCAAACTTCAGCAAAAGTCAAGCATATATAAACTTTTTCTAAACCCAGATTTTGTAGTATTTTATTTATTTTTGTTTGAAAGGTAAATTCACAGAGAGGAGACAGAAAGAAAGAGAGGGAGAGACCTTCTGTTGGCTGGTTTACTTCCCAAATAACAGAAATGGCTGAAGCTTAGCCAATCTGTAGCCAGGAGCCAGGAACTTCCCCTAGGTCTCCCATGTGGGTGAAGGGTGCCATGGCCTTTGGTCATCCTCTGCTGCAATCCCAGACCAGAAGCAGGAAGCTGGATCAATATGGAGCAGCTGAGAACCAAACCAGTGCCCATATGGGCTGAAGCAGCTGCAGGCAGAGAATCAGCTTTCTATGCCACCGTGCTGGTCCTGCTCTAGTTTTAACCAAGTCTATTAGACTTTGGAACCTTGGCTTCCTGCCTCTTAACTAGTTTCTACAAGGAAACACATGTGACCTCCTATTACTAACACCCACCCTAACCAGCCAGAGTAACCAATTCAGACTGCTAGATCCTATTATGTAATTACTATGATATATAAAATAAAAATGCCTCCCAAAATTGAAAGTGAAAGTGACAGAAGATACAGATTAAATGCAGTTTGCAAAGTATTTAGGATTTTCTGCTATTGGCTTTAGAAAGACATGATAGGTGGGATATGCTTGCTGCTGCTAAAGAAATTTTCAGGCACACACAATACAGCTGGCTTTGATGTTCCCAGGAACTCCATTAGTAATGGAATATCTCACTTATATGTCCCTTCAAATCTGTTGCAAGGTGATGAGACTCAAGACTGTGGCATATACAATACCAACATACTTTGTGAAAGCAATTGTAGTTACTAAAATTGAGAGAACTATGTAGTCACACTTTTATGCATTAAAATAACCATTAACTGACCATTCTGTTACTAATTAAGATTTTGCTAACATTGCCTCACAAATCGCATAGGGCAGTTGAGGAAGGCTCATCTATAAATGCTCCCATTCAAAACAATATCTTTATTCAAAGAGGTTAAAATTCTATACCTAATTTCCACATTGTGACATTGAGTCTTGGTAATGGACCCCCCCCTTCTGTTTGTAAATAGCTATAAACATGCAAGTACCCAAATTCAAAAGTGAGAGTTGACACTGTTATGTGCATGGACCTTTCCGGGTAGATTAAGAACAAAATGTTGACAATGAAATGAATATACCTACTGCTAAGACGACTGATGCAGTCAGGGCAGATTATCACTGTCAGCTCAGTCAGTAAAACCACTGACATAAAATCCCACATCATGGATTAATCTAATGGTTCTAAAGACCTCCAAATATTTTGGGGTGGCACTCCCATTTTAAGATGCAATTTTGGAGATCAACTTTTAGAAAGTGTGTGCTCAACTTTTAGTCCCTCCAAGGACAACTTAAAAAACAGGTTATGGGCCGACGCAGTAGCTCAGTGACTGAGCTTCCTTGTATCCCACCTTGTGTCCCACCTTGTATACACCAGGATCACATATGGGCACCAGTTCTAATCCCAGCAGCCCTGCTCCCTACCAGCCCCTGCTTGTGTCCTAGGAAAGCAGCTGAGGACAGCCCAAAGCTTTGGGACTCTGCACCTGCATGGGAGACCTGAAAGAGGTTCCAAGTCCTGGCTTTGGATCGGCGCAGCACCGGCCGTTGTGGTCACTTGGGGAGTGAATTACTGGACAATCTTCCTCTCTGTGTATCTGACTTTCTGATATGAATGAATCTTAAAAAAAAAAAAAAAAAGAACAAGACAAAGGATCCAGAAAGAAGTCAATTCCCTAAATGAAAGGATACCCTTCTTTTAAGCTTTTGTAATTGCATGATCTTCAGAAATACATGAAGAACTAAACACAGCTTAATCTCAAGCTTTATACTAAGACATAGGCATTTGGACACATTAAAATGTTTGCTAAATTATGAACAAATAAGATCCCACATTGGAGGCTCCCCTCCCCAATGCAACCTCTAAAAGCAAATTACAGTATTCACCTCAGGAAAAGCAGCTAATAAAATACTGTCCTCTGTCTTTTTTGTGGTTTTATTATGAAGCTAGAGCTCAAGAGGAAATACTGAATCAACTTTCTACTAACACACAGAAAGCTTAAAACCTTGCATTAATAATAATTAGTTATGTGATCAGAAGATCACATTGTTATCTATTTATAGAGGCATGGGATCAAATTTTGCACCCTGAAGATACTAGAAACGTCATACCTTAAGTTTGATCTAAGTTCAGTCACATGTCCTGAGACTAGAAGGCAACAAGTGACACATAACCTCTCAACCACAACCTGATGAGGAAGTGAAATATTTTTACAGGAACTGTTGAAACAAAAAGCATAGACTAGTTTTTAAGTTATATATCTTGTCTTGTACTACTTGAAACTATGCAGTTACTGATTTTGATGAAGATAAATAAATACCTCTGTGAGCGATTGATTAGTAATTGGGGGCCAATACAATGACTCAACTGTCTAGTATTCCACCTGCAGGCACCTGCATCCCATATGGGTGCCAGTTCATGTCCTGGTTGCTCCACTTCGATCCAGCTCCCTGCTTGTGGCTGGGAAAGCAGCAGAGGATGGCCAAAGCCTTGGGACCCTGTGCTGGTGTGGGAGACCCAGAGGTTCTGAGCTCCGGGTCGGCTCAGCTGTGCCTGCTGCAGGCACTTGGGGAGTGAACCAGCAGATGGAAGATCTGTTTCTCCTTCTCTCTGTAAATCTGCCTTTCCAAGAGCGATACATCTTTAAAAGAAAGAAAACTTCTCTACTGGCCAGGTTTTGCAAGCTACAATTGCAAAGGCTTTCAACACAGTGTTAAACTTATTCTGGCACAGAGGGTATGTACAAAGCCAAGTTTCTGTGACAGATTCTATCTTATCAGTTAGTTAGGATAGCCTAAATTACTTTTTAGTAGCAAATTAACTGTAGAACACTGTACACAATGTTTCAGATGTCTGGCAGCATTTAGGAAATCCACATTTCAGACAGCAAGCAAGAAAAGTTCTTTCTGTTTCCTACATGCATGCAAGGATGAGTAAGTGAACCCTGGAAGGCAAACCCAGTATTGGTCCTGGGCTTATTTTCATTCTCTCAATGCCTGGAAATGAAAGAGCTGAGCCAGGTGACAGTCAGAAACCAAAGACCAACCGCAGCAGGAAATTATTCAGAGTGTTCTGCGCCGTGTGCCCTGTCCACGCCCTGTCAGCTGTGAGGGCGGTGACTCACAGGGTGCAAGACTCCGAGGCACGGCGCCGCAGAGCTCACCCGGAACTGCCCAGCCCCGCCAGTCTCCGACCACTGAATGCTGGCAAAAACGGGGAGGACAGAACTCTAGAGCACGAATCCTTTCGTTAGGCGTGGGGGGAGGGGCAGTGTAATAAAGAGAAATGTTAGTAACCCAATATTTCCAGTCATTGTGGCAAGTGCTTTCAACATCCAACCCATGCACAAATCTTTCTGAATGCTTAAAGGCAACACCGCTTGTGTTTATATAAAGAAATCAAATTAACAGCTCTCAAACAACTTAGGGGAAATTCTACTACACTTTTTTTTTTAAGATTTATTTTTCTTCCAAAGCCAGATACACAGAGAGGAGAGACAAAGAGGAAGATCTTCTGTCCAATGATTCACTCCCCAAGTGACTGCAAAAGGCCAGTGCTGTGCCGACCCAAAGCCAGGAGCCAGCAGCGCTTCTGTGTCTCCCACAGAGGTGCAGAGTCCCAAGGCTTTGGGCCATTCTCCACTGCCTTCCCAGGCCACAAGCGGGGAGCTGGATGGGAAATGGAGCTGCCGGGATTAGAACTGGCACCCATATGGGATCCCGGCGCGTTTGCATTCAAGGCGAGGACGTTAGCAGCTAGGCCACCGTGCCGGGCCCTCTGATACAGTCTTTATACAACTTATTGCAGCACACATATTTAAAAATCACTGGTTTCAGCAGAACGCAAAAGGCAGTCATTTCAGCATCCTCAATAGCCAGAGTTTATCTTTTCATTGGGATGACTATGCAAAAGTTCTTCATTGGTCAACTGGGTATTACAAGTAAGTAAATAGCAGAGAACAGAGAAAGACCAGGGATAGATATATTTTGTTTCACTTAGCTGGTCGATAATACTATTTTTCGCAAAAATCAACCATAAGATGTTGCAAAATTGGTTGAATGGATGGAATGTATAAAATTTCAAAATGTGTGTCAGAAAGTAACACTCATAATTTCAAATTCCAAGGAATTATCTATATGAAAATTTGAAGCTTTCACAATGTTTCTGGAATCAGGCTGGCCTAGGCTTAATATTTGTAACAAGAAATTTTAAGTAGTGGTGTATTTTTCTGCAGTACAGTTCCTGGTTCCTAGAAAGCAGTGTCATAAAACTAAATATAAAAGCTAACTTCTGATAATTATACAAAAATCAGCATTTAGCTTGGCTCAAGGAATTCCTTCGTGTCCAAAATACGCCTCCTCTGCACCTACAGATACTCAACTACACTCAGTTCCTTCCTTGTGCTCCGTGTTTATGGTGCTGCAAAGAGCAGTTCAGCTCAAGATTGTGGGCTACCACCTATCAATTTCAAACCCAGAATGAAACAGGAAACAGCTCACTCTTCAGCACTCCAGTGTCTTTCAATGGCACAAAATCAAAGTAAGTTTACCTTCAAAACCTACCAGTGGAGGATTCAAACCAGATTTACAAAGAGTTGTGCCAGAATAATCATTTTATAACTCAAAATGCATTTTTTCCCCTTTGCAGAAGTGATATGCACATTTACCTAAGGTTTCCTTCCGCTAAAAGGCAACTATCACAATTAGGAGACTGGTTGTTGACTTAAGACTAAAAGCAGTCTAGGATTATCAGCATCACAAAGGACAAAGAATGTGGGGTCTCAAATTAGCGAATAGCAGAAGAGGGCACATCCAGCCAGTCACAATCTCCACTGACTAGAGTTTAGTAGCACAGACAAGGTTTACATAAGCTTCATAAGCTACATCCCTTACAAACAGACCCAAAGCCCAGAAGGAGACTGAGGGCCACTGGCCGTCATCAGGAGATCTCAGAATTGATTAATCTACCTTTATGACAGAAAATAAATCTACAATCTAGAGACTCTGGAGTACCAAAAAACTAACACATCAAAAGCATTTTTGGCATGCTTATTTTATGCATAATGAAGCATTAAATGTTACTACTCTTTGCTTATTTACAACAAAAATTAAAGGTTTGGAGTCAACGCATCATCAAATTATATAACATATCATGCAACTGCTTTTGGGATTATTACACTGTAAGTCGTTTCTTTCAAAGTTACGTCTTTGACTTTTTGCCAGGTTCATATTCATTACCATAAATATATTAGGAAAACTCTGACCCTAACTAATGCCAGGTGACAGCTGCTTATTGATGAAAAATCAAAATGGAAATAATGAATGATTGCTATTGATTCCCACGATAGCTCTACACATACTCAGTAATGTCTCCAGATTAGTTCAGATAGATGCCAATTAGTTTTATTTCATATGTAAACAGCGGTATAAAGACTACAAAAAAAACCTCACTGGGTTGCTTTACCCTAAAGTACAGGCACACGTTTTTGAAAGTCACTTCAATTTTCACTTTTGGAGCTCTTTCTTAGGCAGGAATTTTAAAAATCAATTTGAACTCATACAGCTGTGTATATTCAAGAAATACCAGAAAGTCACAAGGCATAGTAAGTTTCAGCTGTTCTCTCTCCTGTGTTATCAATAATACAGAATGAATTAGTTCATGCGCCATCACAGCTGTGGAAGCCAGCATTCGCTTGGCTAATGCATCTATTCTAGTTGAGTTCACTTAGCAACTTGCTTTAGTTTAGATCATTCATTTTGCAAGTCATACAAGCTACAAGAGTACATGCTTTCTATTTTCATGAATGTGCATATTTATCTTAGTTTCTGTGAAACCATCTAATGATACTGTTGCTTGACCAGATTTCAAAGATTTCTATAAGCAATCAGCTATCAACATCACCCAGCAACCAAGTCGTTTCTTTCAAAGTTACGACAATATATTTGAATCTGAAGTAAAACCCTTATCAACAAGCATTAATTACTAATTCCAAGAGAAAAGGAAAATATACTATCATGAGAAAAAAAACAGACATGGATTCAGAATTTCCAGCTTTTTTTTTTTTAAGATTTATTTATTTTTACTACAAAGTCAGATATACAGAGAGGAGAAACGGAGAGGAGGAAAGACAGAGAGGAAGATGGTTATCTGTCTGATGGTTCACTCCCCAAGCGGCTGCAATGGCTGGAGCTGAGCCAATCCGAAACCAGGAGCCAGGAGACTCTTCCGGGTCTCCCACACGGGTGCAGGAACCCAAGGCTTTGGGCCACAAGCAGGGAGCTGGATGGGAAGTGGAGCTGCTGGGATTAGAACTGGCAACCATATGGGATCCCAGCAAGTTCAAGGCAAGGACTTTAGCTGCTAGGCCACACTGCTGGGCCCCCAGATCTTTTCTTACCCCCACTTTTTCCTGATACATTTAGAACCACAAATGATCAGTCATATTTTCTCCAGTGTGTTCTTTCCTTGTTTTTGACTGGTAATAATTGTAAGACTAATGTGGCAAACTTAGAAAAGAATGTAAGGCCAGTGTGATGGCTCAATTGGCAAATCCTCTGTTTGCATGCATCAGTACTCCATGAGGGAGCATCAGTTGCTCCACTTCCCATCCAGCTCCCTGCCTGTGGCCTGGAAGGAAAGTAGAGGATGGCTGAAAGTCTTGAAACCCTGTAACCCACATGGAAAACCCGGAAGAAGCTCCTGGCTCTAGATCTCATCTCAGCTCTGGCCATTGAGGCCATTTGGGGATTGAAGCAGCAAATGGAGTATCTTTGTTTCTTGCTTCTCTCTGTAAATCTGCCTTTAAAGTAAACAAATCTTTTTCTTTTTTTTAATGAATGCATAATGTAAAGCTGATGGTCATCTCAGTTGCTAAGAGATTTCTGCACTGCCTCTATAATTTTAATTATCAAGTACAGTATTCCAGGCAAAAGTACCTAGTTCTGCCATCCAATTATCATCTATTAAGGATGAGTACTTAAACTGATAAGACACTATGT